CCCCAAAACCCCAAAACCCCAAAACCCCAAAATGGAGAATTTATAAGAATGAGAGATATCTTGAATCAAGTGATATTATTTATCAACTCAAATTATAACAATATATAAAAACTTTAATTAATAAACTAGATAAGAGCAGAATTTATTTCAAAGATAAAACAGTACATGCAAAAAAGCTCCTCTTTACAACAGTATGTACTTATAGAAATGTAGAATAATAGTTAATCTATAGAGAGAATTATGAATTTGACTCTGTCAAAAGGTAGAAAAGCTACTAGAATGATAAGAGCTTCAAAAGATTGAATTCTCAATCAGATAGAGATCATGTGATGACGCGCTAGCAAGAGACAGAGGGAAATCTAAAAGTTATGAATGAAAATTAAGTTTACAATTCTAAAGAAAAATTACTTGACCTCAGCCCATAAAATATTGGAACTCTCAAATTGAGAAATGAATGGAATCCAGATTTAGCTAAATTGAAATCTATGCATCATGAAGATGAGGTTGGACTGATTGACCAATCTAAAGATTAGCCGAAAATGAACAAGTCAAAATCTAAAATATTTGAGATGCTCAGTCCAAGCAAGAAGCTAGCCATGAATGATTAGAAAAATCATCCTAAATCGAATAAAAATATAGACAAAGGAGGTGACTACTAGTAATGGCAACGAGAATTGACTGCTAATTTCGATGCAAATTTACACAATTCCATGGATGAACAGGGATCCTCTGCCAGATAGGGTCATGAAAGGAACATCAACCACAGAGATCAATACTATTTGCAAAAAGAAAATCATAACATTAATAATAAGAACTAGAGTACAATCAATCAAGAAGCCAGACTCAGGCAGTAAAGAGTTTTTGAAAAGGAGCAAATCCTAAATAAAAAACTGAATTTCCTGATTCAAAATGAGGAGGAATAATTCAAATTTCAAGATCTCAATGTCACTGACAACTCTCCACAGAATGCTCAATTCAATAAAGGATCTCATTAGGCCTCATTAAGAACAGAGAGTGCTTAGCCTAATGAAAGAGAAAATTCTTCTTGTTAATATGATAGTCCTATTCCTAACAATTTTCATGGATCTCATAACATAGATGGTATTAAAGGAATTTTACAGCTGAACTAGATTCAAATCGATCTGATAAGTGCTAATGAGGGTACTATGATTAGTAATGGTCTATCTAAGTTTGACCAAAATAACTAGGAACTTTTACACAGACAGCTTTCCTTGCAGCAAATTTAGTAACCCTTTTATCAGTAATCTTCTTCATCATCTGACGAATACATGCGCAGGGTATTGAGTAAGCAGGAGATAAATTAAAATACTCCCAAATTTAAAAGTAATAATATAATGGTAAGGTACCCTTCGCAGTAGGACCGAAAATCATCTAGCTTTTGCTCAGTTTCCTAGCAGTCCAGCATATCTAATGTAGTCCTAGAATAGTAACGTAAGCATTAATATAATGAAATAAGAGATACAGAAATTCGCATGGATGATTTACTTCTGCAACCTAAATAGTCTTCCAATTTTTATGCTAACCAAAGATTCAACAAGCAGTTTTTTGAGGACTTAAAAAACTAGTAGATTGGCTTTGCAACCGTACTTCAAGAGAGAAAGAACAACTATCTCACCTCATAGGATCAGACACACAGATCTCAGAATATAAGTTTCTCATAAAATAACAACCAAACTTTTAAGTAACATATGCAGTAACAATAGTAAGAGTAAATTGATTGCCAGGGTTCTGGTTAAAATTAAAATTTGAAATTACTCCTAGATTAAAAGTCAAGATTTAGAGACAGCAATCTTTTAGGCGATGAGTGGAATATGAAGAGGAAAAATTCTAATTTCTTGACTGATCTCCTGACGAGGATTGAATAAAATAATCAACTCAAAAAGAGTATAGAGAGAGCAATAATCTTGTTTAATGAAAAGCCTAGGAAAGGTATAGACTTTCTAATTAAGAATAACTTCATTGAACACGATCCAGTAATGATTGCTGAATTTTTATTGACCACTCCAGGTCTAAGTAAATTTGCCATCGGCTAGTTTATAGGTCTTAATGAGCCTCTATCGCTTGAGGTGCTTAAAGAATTCTCCAATAAGATAGATTTCAGAGAGTTGGAAGTGGATGAAGCCTTGAGATTATTCCTTCAGTAGTTTAGATTGCCTGGTGAGAGCTAACAAATCGATAGGATAATAGAGTAATTCTCAAACACTTACTATGGTGATAATCCCTCAGACTTCAGGAATGTGGACGGAGTCTATGTCATGGCCTATTCATTGATATTCCTTAATACCTTAAATCACAACTCGAATGTATCTGCAGCCAGAAAGCTGACAAAGTAGCAGTTTATTTAGCAGAACAAATATGAGAACCCAGATTACCCTACTCAGAGACTAGAGGAGATGTTTGATAGAATAATGACTAATGAGTTCAAGACAGATACTCTTTTTGTTGAGAAGATATACGAACGCATAAGAGCCTTCAACCATGAAGAGACAACTAAGGAGACAATTAAGCTAAGTACTAATGTGCTTCAGTCAGGTGCGAGCTTTTTAAAGTTCGGGCGAATGGGCAAACCACATTTGAGGTTTGTGTATGTGTCAGATGACGAGCAGAACCTATTCTGGTGCGTGCAGAAAATGAATAACAGAAAATCTAGGATAAAATGCATCAGATGTGATGACATTGTAGATATTAGGGTAGGCTATAATTCAACTAAGGTACTGGTTAAGCACTAACTGCCTATTGAATTTGATGACTTAGTCTTCTCCATACTCACAAATACAAGAACCTTAGATCTCCAGGCTCAAAACTCTGAGATAAGAAACAGATGGGTAAAGTTCTTGAAGATTTTGATAAATGAAAAATAAAATCAACAGAAGATTAGAGATAATTGCAACTAGTTAGAGATATTTGAAAGAAAGCAGAGAATATAGCACGAATTGGAGGAGATTTGGGAAAACGATATAATGACTAATTTCTCAGATCACTGGGATTACTAGAACCATTGTCCAAAGACCCAACTTAAGGAATCTAAATTTAGCAAGACCTATGCTGCCAATAACTCTAGATCAAATGGCAAAAAGAAGCGGGGTTGGCTTTGTAAGATAAACCCAAAGACTTGCTGGTAAGATCATAATAACAAGAGATTACTAAGGAATGAAACGAAAAGACTGAGAGCTAGTGCTGGGGGAGCTAATGATGGCCACATGTCTAATAGAAGTTACAACGACTATAGTCCTGAGAGATACCCAGCTGCTGATTTCGCATTCGAGAGCTAAAGCTAAGGCTACTTTCTAGAGAACCTATGGAGAAGAGGCATTCCGCCCAAATTTAGAAGAAAGATTTGGCCCTTCGCCATCTAAAATAAACTTGAGATCACTAAGTAATTATACAGAATTAATCTAAGAGAGGGTCTAAGTGTAGTCAACAGCATTTAGAAGTAGCTGAGAACTCAGAAAAAGGGCTTGTAAAAGCAGATACTTGAAAAGATCGACTAGGATATTAAGAATACTCTTTAGACCTTTAAAGTTTATTTTCAACGAGAGAGCAATCTCAGTATGAAGTTCAGCACTAATGTCAAAGAAGGTAGTTAGTAAGAAGAGATGAAGGGAATTTTCGATCTGGCAAAGAGTTTGGAGAAAAGTAAGCAAGATGAGCAGGACTCTGATTAGATCAACAGCATTCCACCGATGATGGAAGAATCCTACTAATCCAATTTAAAGTATGAGACTCTCTTTCACAATATCTTATCTTTCATCATGCAGAGACCTGATATTGGCTATTTGCCTGTAATATTGTTAACTTATTTTATATCCTTTAGAATGTGAGTTACTTGGCTGGAATGTTCTTGATATATTGCAACGAATACGATGCTTATGCAAGTTTTACAAACTTCATTCATGGACATTACTTCCTTGACCTATTCAAAGGTCAATTATCTGATGTAAGCTATACATTAAACTTTATAAATATGTGTCACATAGATTAAGCTAAGAATAAACCAGTTCAATAAGCATTTCCTAAAAATGATGCCAGACTTATTTAAACATTTTGAGACACTAGATATAACTACTGATTTGTATTTGATTGATTGGATGCTTACCTTGTATTCTAAGAATATGGATTTGGACATTGTTAGTCGTATTTGGGATAATTTCATGTTGGATGGAGAAATATTTGCTATTAAAACAGGTTTAGCTATCTTGCAGTATTTTGAAAATCAGTTCATTAAGTAAAGCTATTTCTAGATTGTCAAGCAACTTAAGACCCTCTAAGGAGGCATTATTGAAGAAGATAAGTTCTTCACCTTGATTGATGGTATCAATATAGATTCAAATAGCTACTACGCTGACATTAAGATGCAAAAGTGGAGTTATTAAAAATCTAAGGTACTAGGTAGTGTTTTCTAATGATTTATAGACTAAGATTATTGCTATCTATATTTAAGCGATTTGATATTATTGAAGTTTAATTTCATGCATTCTTGATTAGTGGGGTTTTGGGGTTTTGGGG